CTTGGCTATTGTGAATAGTGCCACAATAAAGATAGGAGTGCAGGTTTCCTTTATAATTAGTATTTTTGAATTTTTCAGGTAGATGCCTAGAGTGAAATCATTGAGTTGAATGGCAGACCCATTTTTAATCTTTTGGAACACTTCCTTTCTGCTTTTCATAGGGACCAGACCTTTCTGCATTACACCAGCAGTATAGAAGTGTTCCCTTTTTACACATTCTTATCAGCTCTTGTTGTTCCTGGTCTTTTTTTTTTTTAAAGATTTATTTATTCATACAGAACTGGGGTACAGGCCAGAGATGTGGAGGGTGAGAGGATTCACCAGAGACAGAGTGGGGAGCAGAACAGGCAGATGGATGAAGTACACTGCTGATGGGAGCAGTGGGCGGGTCAGGAGAGGTCTGCCGGGCCATGTGTATCTCCTCCAGGGCAGGCAGGACTCTAACTCACGTGGAAGTGGCTTAAGCTTCTTAGTGCAGTGCTTTAACCCACTGCGCCAGTTCCTGGTCTTTTTAATAAGGGCCATTCTTACAGGTGTAAGGTCTTGATTTTAGTCTTGATTTACACTTCCCTGATAATAAGTGATGAATATCTGTTCCAGTGTCTATTTCCTGCAGTATGTCTTATTTGGAGAAATATCTGTTTAGTTACCCAAGACTTTCCAATTGACTTTCGTTTTTAAAGGCTTATGTATTAATGCATACAAGAGCTGGGGTGCAGGCCTACAATGCTGGGGGTGAAAGGATTTTTCCAGAGACAGAGTGGCGAGCAGAACAGGCAGATTGACTGAAATACACTGCTGAGGGGACATCAGGCATGACAGGTTTGCTGTGCCATGTGGTCAATTCCCTGGCCAGGGATTGGGATGGAACTCATGCTACAGTGGCTGCAGAGCACTTCCTAGTGCTGTGTCTTAACCCCTTGCACCAACAGGGATGGCCCCAATTGACTATGTTTGTAGTGGGATTTGAGAATCTAAATTTCCTTAAAAGTTATGATTCTGATGAGCAGCAAAACCTGATATCTACTGTTATCTAGTAGTAGTCTTATCCTCTAATCTCCTGATAGAAAAAGTGGTCCATGAAGGTAGACATAAAGAGGATTGTATACAGCTGGATTGTGAGTCATCTACTTTTTAAACATTTTCACTAGAGTAGCCACTAGAAAAGGTATTTTAGAATATCTTAAGTCTAAATAGAAACATTAGAAATGGTAGATAAAGGACTGTTATGTACAATATACACTTAGGCCTACCCCCTCCAAAACTTGATTATCAATAGCAAGGTAACTGACGTGATGGTCTCACTAAATTATAAAAGAAACCAAAGCAAAAGCTCTTTACCTGAATGTGTAGGAAACAGGTCCACCTAATATTTTCCAAAGTGAACACATGATTTTTTTCTTAGGTCTTTAACTAGTTATTACAATATATTTTCATCTTAATTCCTAAAATATTGAGTACTTTGCCTGCCATCATGAAGAGTACAAAGATGAAAACACTTGTCCTCAGGAATTAATGACTATATAGTCATTAATAAGAATTACAGTTTAAGTTTTAAGAATTTAAGTATGGCTGAACTTTAGCAAATCAAGTCAGAAAATTACTATGTTATAAATATATTCTGGCAAAACATTTGTATCAAGCTGGTAACCAACGTATAAAGTATTAGAAAGAATCCAGCATTTGAGTTTAAGAGTTTTGAATTCTATAATTTGTAAATTCTTTAAGTCCTGTGAGTCTGTTTGATTTTGAATAACACATTTGATAAAGTGGTGAAAAAATGTCATAGTACAAATATTAATGTCATGGGTTTATATGCTCATAACTCTAATAAGAAGATATGTATTTGGAGTTTTCCACCAATAATGACAAATTGCTATTAACCAACTACTTTCTTATCTAGCTTCCAACATATCTAGGAGACTTTTGTTGTTATTACAATATGTATAGTTAATAGTCATATATTTTAACAAATTAGTATATATATTAAATATGCACATGTATATATGCATATCTTGCCATGTATATATTTGTGTTTATAAACATTTCTCAAAAGAAAAACAGAGAAACCACCAACCTAATAGGTGAATTAGGGATAAACATCGCACAAAGCCTCACAGGACTATGTAATTTATATTTCTGATTAAACAATGATGGGAGTGACAGAAGATTCACAGGAATGCTTACCTTCAAGTTTTAGCCAAACATGTAACTACATGTAAATTCTTATTACTCTGTAGGGATATGACTAAAGCTTTAAATAGAAAAGGATGGTTAAACGACTGTAGTAAATTTATCAATAATTCTTAAACCTACTATTAACAAAAGCGTACCTAGATTATTCTTTCTCCAAAAACATGTATTTGCAGTAAGTAGCAGCGAACCTACACATTTTAACAAACTTTTAATTTTTTACTATTTTAGACTTCGTTAATACATAAGTTTGATCATAAATGATAAAAAATTAAACACACAAGATCAAACACATTTTAAGATGATTTCTCCATGTTGAGTTTCTCAAACAGCAAAATTAGGAAAGTTTGAGTTCTACTGATTATCAGTGATAATTACTGATAATACTACAATTATGCCCTTTCATCCAAGTACCTCAAAGAGCTTTTACAGCATTAATTTTTTATTTCTTACAGTATCTATGAGAAGCCAACTGGAAGAAAGTTACTATTATCTCAATTTTACTGTCAAAGAAACTAGGGCATAGAAAGGTTAAGTTACTTTGCAAGGGTCATTCAGGCAACAAAAATAAAAAGGACTCAAAATCATTGTTCTCATTTCAAGAACAGTATATTATCCATTAAACAGTCATTGAATACATCTAGTCTCTAGTCTGGGAAAATTGAGAATATTGTGTTTGAGTAAGAATCAAAGGTGAGTTCTTCATTTTTGGTGTTTATAGATAGCTATAAAGGAATATAGAATAAAAACTAGTGATTAGTGTTTGGCTTGCTGCTGTAGATATTGTTTGTAGGGTTTTTGCTATTTGTGGCCTGAAGCCTCTGTTTGGAGTGATCCATTCAGTTTCTGCCTGCTTTAAGCTAGGTTAGCATAACTGTGAACAGTTTGAAGTTTTCATGTTCCTCTCATTGCCCAGTCTTCATGAAATTATGCTCCTAGTTTCACCATTTAACAGAAATTTGAGCTTATGAAGCTATACAAGTTACCACTGTCATATTCCATTTTTTAAATTATATAGTTTCTAGTAAGCCTGACTTTTATAGATCCTAGAAAACTATTAATTGAGTATTAGCCCATGGGTGGGCAAACATCACCACTGAGGAATTTTTTAAAATGTAACACTTCAACAATTTTCCCAAGAAAAGGTAGTAAGAAAAAAATTATTTTGAAACTGTGCACAATGAAGTGAGACTACACAGTCTAAAAGTGACACAAGTCTGTAGTGTTTCTAACTTCAGCCCAGAATCTCCCCTTAGGCAGTACTATTAGAACTTCAAATTCACCAGGTACCAAAATGGTATTTGGTTTCTGGACCCCCTTTCCTAACCCATCCCAACCCTGCTTTTATCGCATTTTCATAAATTACACCTTTGTTCTCCTCAATAGTAAAAGCATCATCGCCATTTCCCTTCTCTGATCCAGCTTATGCCCACAGCAACCAATCACCCAAAATCAGTTCACTTGGTCTATTTTAGAAATCCATTTTCTTTGGATGCTCACGGCCACTCACATAAGGGACCTTATCCTTCATAAGGGACCTTATCCTTTCTCTTCTGGATTTCTGTTATGGCCCATCTAGATCTTTTTGCCTTGCTCCTCCCTTTAATGAACATCAAACCTAAATCTATCCAGGGTCGCTCCTCTCTTCATTGCTCCACTGAAGTACCAAACACAGTTTTGCTTCTCCAGTCATGTTTTTCAATAACCCAAGCTTGAACCTTAAGGCCCGTAATTACTATTCAGACTTCTCAAGAAACATCGTTATTGTCTGTGTTGCATGACCTTCCTGGAACTATCTGGATTTGCCATCCAGTCCCCTTTTTAGTCTGGAAAGTATCTTTACTATCTAACACAGATTTAATAAATTCATCTATTCTTTTCTCTTTGTATGTTGATATGTCATATTTTAGTAAACATTGTTGCTTTCACGTGTGCCCAGTAAACTCGGCATTTCTCAATGGATCCAGTCAAGCACGCGGCTGGTATTCAATTGTGGTGGGGGAGGAGGAAGAATAAATGGCTAGGGATAAGGCTATGTAGCTGGTAACGGATACTAGGCAAACGATCTATTTCGAACCAGTTGAAGAATTTAGATAAAGCAACTGATTTAGTAGAACTCCTTCTAACTGAAGCTACCAAATCACAGGCGGGTGATCTCTGTGCCATACCAGAGACCAGACTTGAGAGTCGCAGGGGAGCCGAGCCCACTCAGAAAGGCTCCCAGACCATTCAGTGAGGAGTGAGGCGAGAGGCGAGTTCTCCGGGATCCGCAGTTAGATGTGAGGCCCACAGCCACCAAGACCCTCCAGCCAGGGCGGAAACTGACCCTTCTCCTAGCATTCCGCTGGTGACAGCTACATCGCCGGCTTCCCTAAAAACCTGTGGTCACAGGACCGTGCGGCCTCCGTCGCAAGACGCCCCAAGGGAAGCGGCAGCCCAGGAGAAGCAAAATGGCGGCCTCCTCCCTCCTTTCCTCAAAAACTCCCTCCTTGTTCCCAGAAGAGACAAGGACATCGCGGTGCCGAGATCCGGGAACCTCCGCGAGAGCGGCGGCCACTGTTGGGCCCTGGGGAGGTGACTTCACCTCTCCGAGCACAAGACGACGAGGGTGGAGCTGCCGGAAAACTGCGCATCCCGCCCTCAGCACTCAGGGGTGGACGCGCCTCACCCGCGCCCTCCCGGCCATTGTTCTCTGGCCCCGACTCCCCACGCCTGCCTCTCAGCCCGCGGACAGGAAGTATCTCCCAGCCGGCCCCGCCCCGCTCCCAGCGCCCCGGAAGTGATTTGCAGCTGCTGCTGCAGAGCGGCCAGGAGGAGGGTGGATCTCCAGAGAGCGGAGCGCCCGGAGTCCTCCTCCTCCTCCTCCTCCGCCTCCTGCCGCCCAGGTTCCGCCGCCGCCCCTCCGACTCCTCCTTCTGCCGCTCGGGGCGCGGAGCCTCAGACAGGGGCCGAGCACTCTCCTGCCGGAGCCTGCTCAGCCGCGGCTTCGGAGCCCACGGGGCGGCGGACAGGCTTTGCAGTGCAGGTGAGCGACGCCCCCCGGGCCGACCCGGGAAGGGTCTGGGCCACCGGGGCGGTGACGGGGGTGTGTCCGGGCAGCCTCTAGCGGAGGCCCAGGCGCAGGGCCCGGTCGCCGAGATTGCACATCCCGGTTTCTGCCCGGGGAGCAGCTGCGGGACCAGCCGGCACGGGAATCCGCCGCGCGGTGTTCGTCGCCGTGCGGGCAAATGCGCCCCGGGGAGCCGGCTGCTGCCGCGAGTTTCTCCGAGCTCCGCAGCCTCTCCGACTTGGCCTCATTGGAAGGTCACCCCGCATCTCTGGCCCGCGCGCCGAGGTCCCCGGTTGGGCGGTGCCCGTGACTTGGGGGACCCGCCGCCGCAGTCCTTTCGCCTTCCTCAGCTCTCTCCGCCTTCCCTGTCTTTCCACTCCTTGCCGGTACTAGAACAGTTGCTCTTTAAGCCTCTCCGCCAGGGTTTTGTGCCAGTTAATGTTTTTTTTTCAGACTGAAGTCATTAGATGCTCTCGCATTGAACTGAATAGCCGGTCTTGGGCTCTGGCACGGGTTAAACCCATTTTTCGGGTAATCCGGCCTCTAAAATGAGGAAGAGAGTGTGGCTATCATAAGTGTGGGGATATTTCCTCCGTAGTTCGTTCCTAAAGGTTTCCCAGAAGTGGAAGATGCGATTTGTGTGCTTTAGTCTGGGTATATGTGTATAAGTGGGCGGGAGTGACGGCGCAGAAAGGTGGCAGTGATTTTTCGAGGTTTAGGGAGAATTAGGGAGTTAACTGGTCTTTGCTTGGAAACCTGAATGTCCAGACTTGTCACAGCTCTCCAGATGTCATTGAGGTTGTGTGAGAACCCCATTGCCACGCCCTACGTGTCAAGCTCAAAAGCTCCTAATTTACAAATTGTGTTTGGTGGGGAAGGAGGTGGGGCACCTTTATAAAACATGTGTCATAAGTTCTGAAAATAAATTACAACTTTAATCAGGTTCCAAACACTGGCTAACAAATTTCATTAATAAACTCAAAGCAGAAAGCCTGTTTATGTCTATTGCTATATTTAAATGTTCTTTCTTAGTTTCTGTTTTTCTACCTCTCCTAATACAATGTTATTACAAAATGAGTCTAACTCTTAAAACATAATTTTTAGACTTGTTGGTTCTTCAGTAATGAAGCCATTTCTTTGCTCGTCCCTGTTTCCATACAGTGGTGTCTAGAACATAGTTGTTATTCACACATTACTTCACTGTATGAATGAATCCATAGGCTATATCAGTTACCTTCCAGGAGTCATTTATTTTTTTTGGACTGGGGCTTTTGTTTTTGTTTTTGTTCCAGTTTCTTGGCACATAGAGACTTTGCTTTGTGTTTCTGTTCTTTAGCTTGGTGGAAGAACAATCCTTTGCTATCTTTCCAAAATCCTTTCCCCACCCCAAGTTTAAAATTATATTTGGAGTATTGGGACTGGGCATTAGAGTGACTTATATATTTTAATGCTAATTACTACTTCAGCATGATTGTCCAAGATCAGCAAGATCCTGTTGATAATAGCTTTTAGAGTTGAGAGCCATATACTATGTCAATGAAAAAGAGGAAATTAGAAGTTACCACTATTTGGAAAACGTGGTCTATCACAGAGTTGCTTATAGTGGTTCATTTTTCTCCATGAAATCTCCTGACATCTTGTTATGACCTTGGCGTGATTTACCTAGCAGCCTTCACAGTACTTTTCAGAGATCCAGATGCTCTTCTCTTGGTGTGTCTGCTGAATGTGCAGTCATCTTTATCACTTATTTGGAAGCACTTTTTTATACAACACTTTCTTTTCAGGGCTTTCAGGGGAAACAGGCTAATTATAGGAAAGAATCTTGATCACCATTTGTGTAATTTTTATTTATAAATGGTCAAATTGTTTTCACTTTCAAGAGTTCCATCTTAAAAAATGCTATTAACGCCTTTCCTCTCCAAATACCTGGTGGTCAACCTGCACTGGTTTTCCAAATTATACAACTTCTGTTCTAAGAAGTACCACTATCAATCCTGTATATGTGTGTTTTAGTGTAACATGCACTTGTAGACCTCAATAGATGGTTGGCAAAGACAGTCACTTCAAAAATACTGCAATCAGAGGCTGTGCATGTTAATGAGGAAAAACATCATTTTGAGGAAAGTTTCTATTTTCACGGTTATGGAAAATGTCTTAAGTTAGACACTGAGGAGAGGGAAATCTTTTTCTCAGTGACATAATCACTGTATGAAGGTCAGATTTACCTTTTTTATTTCAACATTGCTTTTGGTAATAACAGTCTTCATGTACTGATTGTCTTCCAACCACTATGATAAGAAATTTACTTATACATTATTTCTCATTGCCACACCATCTTGCAAATAGGTAGTTTTTTCATACATACTATTTGGCAGAGGTTAGGCAGTAAGTATATTGTAAAACCTGGGTTTGAAATTAGTGATTTCTGAGAACATTCGGTATTGCAGTTAATTGCAAAAGGCTGAGCGAGCTCTTGATTCTGATTGAGTTGAGCTTCAGGAAAGAAGTGATATGACTCTCCTCAGTACTTCTGGCTACCAAATGGACTTTATGGTTACCTGCGACCCTGACCAGGTGGCCTCACTAAATAGCCATTCTTCTGTTTCTCTACAGTGAGCCTACAGACACAGTGTTAACATCTTCTGTGCTATGATGAAAAAAAAAACAAAAAACATCTGGCTCTTTTTCACATAAGTCATGGAAGAATAGAGTATTAGGGATACAACTCTGATGTTTCATTACTGCTTTTTACCTTTGAAGGCCCTACTGGAGAAGATAACTGGAAATTTGTGGCTACCTTGCCTGAAATCATGTAATTTTTTAGTTCTTTTCTAAAGGAGATGTTGGGAGAGTCTGCGGTGGGGGAGTGGAAAGAATGGTGAAAGAAGCAAAGGTATACTGAATCTGTTTTTACCATTTCAGACCATATGTCATTTTCATTTTGAAGTTAGTATGGAAGCATAAAGGAGGCAGAACACTTAGAAGGGTGTAATTACTAGTCATTGCTCGTAGAATTCACTTCCATTTTTTCTGAACCTGTGCATTTTTGTTGTTGCACTTTTAAATGGACTTAATTGGGTGGGTGTGTTCCTATCTTGGTTAAGAAGAGAAAGTATATTTGGCACAGGTTTTTTTTTTTTTAAAGATTTATTTATACAAAATTGGGGTACAGGCCAGAGATGCGGAGGGTGAGAGGATTCACCAGGAACAGAGTGGGGAGCAGAACAGGCAGATCAATGAAGCACACTGCTGAGGGGAGCAGCGGGTGGGTCAGGAGAGGTCTGCCACGCCATGTGGATCTCCTCCAGGGCAGGCCATGTGGATCTCCTCCAGGGCAGGCGGGGATCATACTCATGTGGAAGGGGCTTAAGCTTCTTAGTGCAGTGCTCTAACCCTCTGCACCACCAGGGAGGGCCTTGGTACAGGTGTTTTGATGGTGGGTTTTAGCTGATAACATACAATGGAAAAGATACAAACCTATACTCCTAAAACATGTACAATGTTGTAGGCCAGTGTTACTTCATTAAAAAATAATTTAATTAAAAAATTATGTAGCTCTAAGTCAGCTCTTTTCTCTAGCCCACATTAGTAACAGTTACTTTTTGTTTTTCTTTTAGTTGAAAGACACTGTTCTTAATATCTTGGGTTTGTTTACAATACAGAAAAGGTGAAATTAAAATTCTGAGGTTTTATTTCGTACTTTTTCTTTTTTACTCCCTCTGCCAAACTACCTGTGCCCATACCTTATCTGCTTCCCTCCTCCACCACCCACCACCTTTTCCCATTCCCTCTGGTAATCATAATCTTTTTGTTTAACTCAAATTTTTATTTCTTGTATTATTTATGTGTAATTTTTCTATATAGTTCACATAAGTGAGACCATCTGAAATCTTTTACTTTTCAATTTATTTCACACAACATAATTCCCTCAGGATCTATCCATTTTTGTCCCAAATGCCATTGTTTCATCTTGCTTCACAGTGTGTAATATTCTGTTGACTATATACTCCACAGATTCTCTATTCATTCATCTGTTGAAGGTCACTTAGATTGGTTCTGTGATTTGGTGATTTTGAACAGTGCTGTTATATACATAGATGTAGATAGATCTTTTTATATTAGATGTTTTATGTCATATGCTCGTAGTGGTATATGACATAGGGGCTGTACCAGCTTGCATTCCCACCAGTAGTGGATAAGAGTTCCTTTTTCACCACAACTTTACCAACATTTGTTAATTCCATTCTTTTTTTTTTTTAAAGATTTATTTATTTGTGCATATAGAACTGGGGTACAGGCCAGAGACTCAGGGGCGGTGAGAGGCTTCACCAGAGACAGAGTGGGGAACAGAACAGGCAGATGGATGAAGTACACTGCGGAGGAGAGCAGCGGGCAGGTCAGGAGAGGTCTGCCATGCCATGTGGTCACCTTCGGGGCAGGTGGGAATAGAACTCATGAGGAAGTGACTTTAGCTTCTCAGTGCTGTGCTTTAACCCACTGCGCCACCAGGGAGGGCCTAATTCCATTCTTTAATCAGGGTTTTTTTTTTAATTTTAGAAAAAAATTGCATTCTTATTATATCTGAAGGTGAAGACTTAATTTTTCAAAAGCCTAGCCTGTACACTGAAAAAACAAATGTCCATGAAGTAAAGTACTACTTTTTTTCCCCTAAAGATTTATTTATTTATGCATACAAGAGCTGAAGTGTAGGCAAGGTATGGAGGTGGAGGTAAAAGGATTCACCAGAGACAGAGTGGGGAGCAGAACAGATGGCTCTACTAAAATACACTGCTGAGGGAAGTAGTGGGCAAGACAGGAGGGGTCTGCTCTGCCATGTGGGTTAGCTTCTTGACCAGGTATCCAACTGATGCTGCAGTGGCTAGCAGTAGCTTCATAGTGCTGAGACTTTTCCCCTTGTATCATCAGGAAGACTCAAGTACAATCTACTTTTAAAAGATCTTTATGGCTAGAGTCCT